GTTACTTGGGCTCCATAATTCAGAAGGACGGTGAGTTAGATGGAGATGTATCCCATAGAATCAGAACAGGGTGGATGAAGTGGAAGAGTGCGTCAGGATTTCTATGCGACCGAGGTATGCCGACTAGACTGAAGTGTAAATTTTATAGAACAGCAATTAGGCCTGCATTACTGTATGGCGTAGAGTGTTGGGCGGTGAAACAATGTCACATTCAAAAGATGAGTGTGGCAGAGATGCGCATGCTGCGTTGGATGTGTGGGCATACTAGGAAGGACTGCGTGAGGAATGAGACAATCAGACAAAGGGTGGGAGTAGCACCTATTGAAGACAAGATGCGGGAGTCGCGCCTACGGTGGTTTGGTCATGTGCGTAGAAGACCGAGTGATGCACCTGTTAGGCGAGTTGAGATGTGTGGAGAAGAGGCAGGGAAGAGAGGGAGAGGAAGACCCAAACAGACGTGGGTTAGGGGAGTTCGAAGTGATATGCTTCTTCTGGGGTTGGATGAGGGCATGACTTTGGAGAGAACTAAGTGGAGGGCGGGTATTCACGTGAAGGAGTGATCTTGATAATCTTTTTCCCTCTCTCTTTTTTTTCCTAGTTTTTTTATCCTTATATATATAAGCATTATTTGCAGCCTTTTTATTTTATCATTTTTATATATATTCATCTTTTTTTATATTATCTTTTAATAATAGCTTATCTTTTTATCTTTATTCCTTCTTTTCCTTTGGGTTTTGATATCATGTATCGATTCATGTTAGCCGACCCCAATATCTTTTGGGACTAAAGCTTGGATGTTGTATGTGATGGGTAGCGCTCATGAACTGGAGTTGGGTGTCCCAATAGATGGTGTGCACCATTCTTCTTCAAAGGGGATGTTGGAAGGGATGAAGCAGATTGAGGGTTTCAAAAGTGATAATGAAAATTCTAGGAACTATGTTCGAAAGGAGTTGGGAGTGGGATTGACTGAGAATGAAACGGGAAATGTAAGGGGAATACCAGTGGAAAGCTTTATTGTTTCCGATAGGGGTGTAGTTTGTGACTATCGGTTTCAGATGGCTATTGCAGGTAAAGAGGCCAGGGCCACAGATGACAAGAAATATGATACGTTGGGTGTAGTTTACATTGCACTTCTTGTTATTGATCCTAGGTGGGGGAGTGATAATGGAAATCCAGTTTTTGTGACTACCCAACTAAGAGGCTCTTCCAACTGTTTGACTAAAGACGAGAATGATTGTAAGTCATGCGGCCCAAAAGGCAAAGAATATATTGCAGTCTTCTTATACCAGTTGTTTATTCATAGTGGAAACTGCAGCAGGTTCTGCACCTTTCATGTCACTGTTTGCACCTATCAGTTCCGGGTCACATGATTCTTATTGGAAAGCTTCCGTTAATACCTCTGCAATTGTTGTTCCTTCTGTTCTTATCAGTCCCAATAAATACATGACAGATGATACAAATTCAAGGAGTGAAACAACTGAAATTCAAAGGCTTGAGTTATATCCTGAAGCTAGAGACATTAGCAAATGGAAGATTGAGCATTTGGTGATTAGTAACGCCCAGTTCCAGCATAAACAAAGCCACCCAAGGGGTAATTCTGCTGTGAAGTGCATGTGGAAGACGATTAAAGTAACCAAATTAAAGAACCAGAAATCAGTAAAATATTGGGAAGGGAGAGGCACAAAGTGGAAGAAAAAACAGAGAATCTTGGCTGTTTCCTATCACCCACCTTGAGGGCAAGGTGGATGTTTAGGGGGAGATATGTTAGGGACCCGGTAGAATAAGAGTAAATAAGAAGAGTAATAGCTAGAGTAGTATAAATAGAAAGGGAGTGGGTAATAAAGGGAGGCTGTTTTTAGACTGCTGTTCTGTACTGGAAAGTTAGAGACTAATACTCTCTCTCTTTGGGGGCTTCGGCCATTGGGGGCTTCGGCCATTGATACTTGTTCTTCTTCAATAAAGCTTCTTGAATTGTTTTCTTTGAATTGTGGAGAAGTATAGAGACACTAAAAAGGATCTGCATTTGGTGTTCATTGACTTAGAAAAGGCATATGATAGGGTACCTCGGAAGTTCTTTGGTGGACCTTAACTAGAAAAGGCTTATCACGTAAGTATATCAACATCATCATGGATATGTATGATGCTCGTACTACAAGTGTCCGCACTAGTGTAGGGAGGACCGCAGAGTTCCCTATTACTATTGGAGTGCACCAAGGATCTGCTCTGAGTCCTTTCTTATTTGCTTTAGTCATGGATGAACTTACGAAGTCAATTCAAGAAGATATACCGTGGTGCATGATGTTTGCCGATGATATTGTATTGATTGATGAGACACAATCCGGTGTTAAAGCAAAGTTGGAAGTATGGCGACAAACATGGGAGAGCAAGGGTTTCAAACTGAGCCAAAGCAAGACTGAGTATATGGAGTGCAAGTTCGGTGGAGGTAGAAGCGGTAGCAACAGTGGGATTACTCTTGATGGTAAGGAGATACCGGTGTGTGACATGTTCCGTTACTTGAGATCCATAATTCAGAAGGATGGTGAATTAGATGGAGATGTATGTCATAGAATCAGAGCTGGGTGGATGAAATGGAAAAGTGCTTCAGGATTTCTATGCGATCGAGGTATGCCGACTAAATTGAAAGGTAAATTTTATCGTACAACAATTAGGCCGGCATTAATGTATGGCGTAGAGTGTTGGGCGGTGAAGCAATGCCACATTCAAAAGATGAGTGTGACAGAGATGCGTATGTTGCGTTGGATGTGTGGACATACCGGAAAAGACCGCCTGAGGAATGAGGTAATCAGACAAAAGGTGGGAGTAGCACCTATAGAAGATAAGATGCAGGAGTCTCGTTTGCGGTGGTTTGGGCATGTGCATAGAAGACCGAGTGATGCACCTGTTAGACGACTTGAGGGGTGGGGAGAAGAGTCAGAGAAGAGAGGGAGGGGAAGACCCAAACATACTTGGATTAGAGTAATCAGAACTGATATGCGTCTTCTTGGGTTGGATGAGAGTATGGCTTTGGAGAGAGCAAAGTGGAGGGCGCACATCCATGTGGACGATTGATGTCTTGTCTACCTTTCCTCTCTTGTTTCTTTTATCGTTTATCTTCCTTATCTTTTTATATTCTTATGTTATTTTTATCTTCTAGCTTTTTTATGTTCTTTTATTTATTTTTCTTTTATCTTGGTTATATTCTTGTGTTATTATTATCTTATATTTATGTATCTTTATTTTATTCATTTTATCTTACTTTTTTTTCCTTTTCTTGTCCGCTTTCTCTTTTTGGCATCGATATCATAGATCGATTCATGTTAGCCGACCCCAAATTCTTTTGGGATTAAGGCTTGGATGGTGTTGTGTTGGTGTCTGTTCTTCTTTCTATGAAATTACTGTGTACCTGGAGGTATCTCTAACACAGAAATGGTAGATAACTTCTGGTCATCTTCAGCTTCGTCTTTGCCAACTTAGTCGCCAGTAGGATGTTCGAACTGAATTACGATCGAGAGGATCAATTGAAGCGGAGCAGTCCAAGAGGATGCTTAAAAACATACAATTTAATTATGTTTTGTTTTATTTCAAAATTATTATTTGAGCTGAATTACGAGTAGGGAGGAATTTCAGAGAATTTGTGATGCAAATGCTTAGAATTTTACAAGATCCTTTCCTAGAGCTGCACAATATTTTCATTTACATAGCTCTTAACATACTTTTACCGTAGGACTGTCAGATTCTTAAGTTTTTGGTCATTCTTGAGAAAACGTGAAGCACAACCTTACAAAGTCTGAATTTTGCAATTAGAAGTGTTTGTTGTCGGTTGAGTGTTGTGAAAGAGTAGCTTCAATATTTATATTGTAATATCTTGTTGTAGAAGCTTGACAATGTTAAGTCCATGTTATTTCTGTAGATTGGAATAGATTGAGGAAGATTTTACAACAAAAGAATAGTTGCTATGAAGTATCTTACATATTGTTATTATTTAGTTTTGGGAAAAGGGTCAAATAGATTCTTCTGCTACTTCTTATACATCACTTAAACCCCTCTACTAAAAAAGCATCATTGAAATACACTTACTTTAAAAAATAGTCCAATCCAGCCATTTAACCGATTTTTAACCTGTAATAGCAGGTTTTTTAATTTATAAAATTCTTAAAAATTGTTAAAATTCGAATAAATAAAATAAAATATCTAAACAACTTAAGAATGTCAAACTCTATGTTCTTCCGTTTTTTGGATTTTTTTAATTTTACATGTTTTTAAAATTTTTAGATTATTTATTTAATATTTTTTACATATTAACTTTTTTCATTTTTCTGTGTTTTCATTTTTTTGTTTAGGTTTTTAAAATTATTACTCTTTTTTCTTTCACCTTTATGAATTTATGTATTATTATTACATTAATGGCTCGAGTGACTGTGTTTTCAAAAGTAAATGTACCCATATGATACTTTTTTTAGTACATGGGCTCAGGTGATGGATTTGAAATAGTAGAAAGGCCTATTTGCCCTTTTCCCTTTAGTTTTTAAACTGTGGACTAAAACCACCAATGCTTGAAATCGAAGTGCAAAAAAAGATTGCAATTGAATGTTTTGGACCACATCTTTTGGGATGAGGTGTGAGTTGAAAAAGATATTAGTTTCATAGGTCATAATGAACCATTAAGCAATCAATTCTTTCAAAAGATTTGATAACTTACAATGGCCTTGAGTTTGTAAAAGATGAAGTGTTTGTTGTACAATGGACAAACTACTCTCAACAAAGGAATACGCTGTTTAATGAAATGATAAAGAAGTAAAGAACATTAGCCCGTTTTAAAATGTTATGGCCTCATTCAGTACTTGAGGATCTTGGGGTAGGCTTCTGTGACATATTGTCAATCTTTGCTCAATAGTGCTTCTCCTTCGTAATTTACTTTGATTGCTTATTGCTAATCTCAAAGCTAGGTAATCAGGTATTCAATAGAAATGTCTGTGCTCTTATTGATACAATTGATGAAGGTGCAGGGTAGCTAATTTCAAATCTAGGTGTTCAATAACAAATATTGGTATTCTTTCTGACTCAACTGATGAAGAAGTTAAGGAGAAATTTGAATCTGCTGATTGCAACTGTCCGGTTCCTGTTGTAAATATTAAATCGGATATTCTGGAGAGTGAAGCGCTGAATCTACTGGCTGAGGGAACATATGTGGATACTCTTTTGACAACACTTCCTGTCTGTTTACCACTTTCTATAGTCTATTGCACTACATTCATTATTCCTCTCATAATAAATAACATAATTACTGCTACTGATGCCTCATTGTTTATATATCCAGGTCTTATCAAAAGAGGAGCAGCATACTATTGCTTCAACTCCTGCTCATCCAGCAGGGTTATATGGTCCGTGCTTTTTGTCTTTGAACTTGATGGTGCATATGTTTTTGTATATTTTCTTTTTATAAAACTTATTATTCCTGCCTAGCTGATGAAAATGGAGCATAACTATCGTTCTTTGACTCAATGCATTTGTGCTCCAACAGCTCGGAGCAAGGACAATGCCATAGTACAATGAACAACATAGAATGGTTGTTAGGCATGTTCTAATATTTTTTATTTCAAGTTGGGTGGGGGGAGCCAAAATAAAGGAAGATGACAAAATAATTGTAGGTGGATGTAATTTGAATTATAAAAAGATGCAAAATTAATAAACAAACAAATATTTGGAGCTATAGCATTCTTTTAAAACTCCCCTGGAGATGTGAGATCTTGTAGCTATATTTTTTCATTCCATGGTAAAATATTTTTATATCCTCACTCAATAAAAAATGTACTTGCTAAATACAAAAATTCTACAATAACTAATCCCAATAGAAAGTAACACACAGACTTAGTTACAATTCTGACAAATGTGTTCAACTGACGTAATCATAATGCCTAAAAAACCATGCAAAGAAAGCTAGTTACACTAACAAATCCTAAATGGTCAAAACTTCAAAACATATAAACTTGAATTTAAACATTCTCGTAGCTTTCTATACCGTGGGCTGTGTCTACATCTTTGCATCCATCTCACATATCGATCGGCACATCTCTAAATATCAAGACTGTCATCAAGCTTGAAGCTAGTAAATGAATGCTTTAAAGTCTGCCAAGTTTTTCCAAGAAAACAGAGGCAATGTGGCATTAGATAGTGTTGTTTTCTCTTAAAGTCCTCTCATAAGAGCACATACAACATATCATGGACACTGTTTATCCAGTCGTAGAACATATGACATAAACAATATCACAGAAGGATAGTGGTTGGTGGTGATATGAATTGAGTTTTGGCCTATTAACTTCTCTTGGCTGCGGCTGTTTCTTGGGAATATTCCTTAAGTAGAGCTGTAAGATCACAGTGAAACCAAAATCTATCTCGCAACCAGAATAAGGTCACAGATCACTTGATTGAGACTGCTTGTGGTGTTGGTGGGCGTTGGACTCCAGAGTTGTGCATTTATGAACTGATTGGGCATCCACATCATGAACGTTTTTAATTCTCGACTTCTAAGATGTTGGACACCTTTGTATGTGGAGCATACAAAATCTGCTACTCTTTGTTCAATGCTGCTGATAGAGTTGATGCTATCCGTAACATTCTGGTCACCATGTAGGCTTTTTTCGTAACCAATATTTAGTGGGGTTGAAATTCGGGTTGTGTTACTGGATGATGAACAATATAGCTGGTTCTGTTTAAGTTATATTTCGTTTGAGGTGCAATTGCCATGGATAAGGGAAGATAGAGAAGTAATTTACATTTATACGTGAAGGTGATGTGAGAAGATGTAAAATAAACATAAAACAAATATCAGTAGACATGGAGTTGTGCTAACTCTTTTGGAGACGTTATTGAGTTCTCCCAGACACTGTTTTCTAATCTCTTGGAAAAAATGTCTGACATCTATTGATGTGAACATACTTTTTAAATACATGAAACCCTACAGTAAGTCGGTAACTAATTATTAATACAGGGAACCCACTACCTCCCTGAAGTACTGTCCATTTATGGTTAACATATTCCCAAAAATGTGCTAAAGTTGTCATAGATTCGTCTAGGCGTCGACTAGGCGACGCTTAGGCATCCGGGTGGTGGAGTGAACTTGTCATGTCTGGTCGCCTCAGCGAGAGTGCTAAACATTGAATGACATTACTTAGACGTCAACTGGGCATTCATAGGGTGCCCAAGATAAGCTTTTTGCCAAATCTACTTTGACCTGGCAAACCAACCCGTGAAGTTTGCATTTTCTTTCTTTTTTATTCTTTCTATCTTCTCTTTTCTTCGTTTTCATTTCTTTATTTATCTTTGTAATTAATTTTACATTATGAACTTTTTTTGTTTCTTTAGATGTCAATTACATTAATCACGTCACTACTCTTTGCTAAACTTTTGCAGTTTAATGTATTAAAAAGGTATTAGGCTCTTCTTTGAGTTAGTGATTCATGTGCTATATTTCATTTTATATTTATATTTATATTTATATATGATACATAATATAATATATTATACTCCCTCCGCCTCCCTATGATTTTTCCATTTTTGGATGTCCCACTATTATTGTCCCATACCATATTTGGTAACATTTGTGTGACTCTAATTCATTCTTACTTTATTCCCATTTTATCAACTCATTATGAACCACATATTTCTACTTTTCTTAAAAACCACACAACTCCCTTCCGTCCCAATATTAGGGGGACAAAGGTAGTATTAAAATATTGGACACGGCTACTTGTCGCATAGGCGCTTGCATAGTCATCTAGGCGACAAGGTGGTTTGCTGGCGCCGCACCGTGCCTACACGCCAGGACATAATTGTCGCATAGGCGCTTGCATAGTAACTTCCTTATTGCTGGGGTACAAATAATTGAAAATTTTGGCTCCTCGATATTACTATTTTGTCTCTAGAGTCGATACATTTTTTTTATAGAGCTACCCCACTCCATGTTAGCTGACCCCAAACTCTTTTGGGATTAAGGTTTGGAGGTTGTTATTGTTGTTTGACCACATTCAATCACTTCCATGATGCGTTGAAGAAAATCCTGCATACTAAATGTATTACTAATCAACATGTATGTGTAAGTTTTAGGAATAAAACTTCCTTGATTATGATGAGCCATACGACCAGAATATATATACAGAGTACACACAACAAACTCCCTGTGCAGATCCTAAAAAATAGGATCTATCTAACTGCAGTACTTATCTGCTAATAAATGCAGTCTAACAACTCTATTTTATCTACACAACTACATACGTACACAATCTAATAATAAATAATAAATGTAACATTTTCTACACTTCCCCTCAAGTTGGTGAGTATATATCATACATCCCCAACTTGCTTATAAGTAGCTCAAACACTGGTCTGAACAATCCTTTTGTGAAGATATCAGTTGTTTGTTCTTTAGTAGGCATGAATGGTATGCACACAATTCCAGCTTCAATCTTTTCTTTGATAGTGTCTGTCCACTTCAATGTGTTTAGTACGATCATCTAGCACATGATTATGAGCAATACTAATAGCTGCCTTGTTATCACAATACAACTTCATAGGTAGATCCATCTTCAATTTTAATTCTGAAATTACTCTTTTGATCCAAAGCAGTTCACAAATTCCATTTGCCATAGACCTGTATTCAGATTCAGCACTGCTTCTAGCAACTACATTCTGTTTTTTTACTTCTCCTCCAAGTCACCAAATTTCCCCATACATAGGTACAATACCCAGAAGTAGATCTTCCATCAGTGATTGAGCCAACATAGTCTGCATCTATAAATGCCTCAACAGTTCTACTGTTGTTCTTTTTAAAGAATAATCCTTTCCCTGGACAACTTTTCAGATACCTTAGAATCCTGTAAGTAGCATCAATGTGTTCCTGGACTGGATTATGCATAAACTGGCTAATCAAACTAACTACAAATGCAATATCTGGCCTTGTATGTGCCAAATATATCAATCTTCCCACTAATCTTTGATATTGCTGGGTATTGACTGGAACTCCATCTTTGACATTTCCCAACTTCTGATTGGGGTCAATTGGAGTATCTGTTGGTCTACATGCACTCATGTCTGTTTCTTGGAGAAGATCTAGAATATACTTCCTCTGTGATACAACAATTCCCTTCTTTGATCTAACTATCTCCATTCCAAGAAAATACTTCAATTCTCCCGGATCTTTGATCTCAAATTCATGAGCCAGTTGCTTCTTTAGACTTTCAGTCTCTTTGTGATAATCTCCTGTAAGAATAATATCATCCACACAAACAATTAATATTGCAATCTCCCCCTTACTTGAAAATTTCACAAAAAGTGTATGATCAGCCTGAGCTTGCTTGAATCCCTGTCTCTTTATGAACTGAGTAAACCTGTCAAACCAAGCCCTTGGGGACTGTTTAAGTCCATACAAGGATTTCTCCAGTTTACACACCTTTGAGCCAAATTTACTTTCAAACCCAGGAGGTGTACTCATATACACTTCCTCTTCAAGCTTCCCATTTAAGAAGGCATTTTTCACATCTAACTGTTGAAGTGGCCAATCTAGGTTAGCAGCTAAAGATAAGAGAATTCTTATAGTATTTAACTTTGCTACTGGAGCAAAGGTCTCAGTATAGTCTATGCCATAGGTTTGTGTATATCCCTTGGCCACCAATCATGCCTTGTATCGTTCAAAGGTTCCATCTGCCTTGAATTTAGGAGTAAAAATCCATCTACATCCCACAGTTGGTTTATTCTTGGGTAACTCTACAATCTGCCATGTCTGATTCCTTTCAAGAGCATTCATCTCTTCTAAAACAGCTTTCTTCCACTCAGGTTTAGATAGAGCTTCCCGTATGGTTAAGGGAATAGTAACAGAGGAAAGACTAGAGGTAAAGGCTGCAAATGACAAGGACAACTGAGAATAAGACACATAGTTTGAAATAGTATATCTGACACATGACCTTTTCTCTTTTCTGAGAGCAATTGGTAAGTCAAGATCACTAGAAGTATTACCTTTTTCATTTTCTGTCATTGAGTCAGATTCATGAGCAGTTGCAGGATCAGAGATGTCCTCTATTCTTTGATTTGGAACTCTCCTTTCATAAACTTTGCCAAAAAATTTACCTATCTGCTGCTCATCTTCTTTCCTTGTTTCAGTTATATTTATTTCATTTTCTTCTATTCCATGGCTATTATCTGATGCATCTAAGTTTTTAGTATGATGTGCATCAAGATTAATGTCAAGAAATTCAAGATTTTCATGGATATGTAATACACTGTTACCATCTTCACTTGAATTCTCCCCCTGAAGATGAGTATTAAAAAAGGGTTGATTTTTTACAAAAACAGTGTCCATTGTTACAAACATCTTTTTTGTTGTAGGATCAAAACATTTATATCCTTTCTGTGTTGAAGACAGTCCTAAAAAGGCACATTTTCTTCCTCTAGGTCAAATTTACTTGCTGTTTTGTCAGGGTTGATAAACACTGTGCAACCAAAAATCTTTAAAGGAAGAGAGCTGATAATTCTGGTTTTAGGAAAGCAGGTTTGAAGTGTATCAATAGGAGTTTTAAATCCTAGAGTTTTTGATGGCATCCTATTAATCAAATAGGTGGCATGTAAAACAGCATCTCCCCATAAATATTTTGGAACTTTGGTGGAAAACATGATTGCACGAGTGACTTCAAGTAAATGTCTAATTTTCCTCTCAGCTATTCCATTTTGAGCAGGTGTATTTATACAAGAACTTTGGTGAATAATCCTCTTTTCAGCAAAAAAATTGTTTAAGTTTTGAGAAAAATATTCACGGCCATTATCACTTCTTACCATTTTGATATTGGTATTGAATTGAGTTTGAACCATTGAGTAAAATTTTCTGAAAACATTTTCAACTTCAGATTTCTCTTTAATAAAAAAAACCCATGTTACCCAGGTATGATCATCTATAATAGTTACAAACCATCTTTGTCCTTTCAAGGTAGAAACTCTAGATGCACCCCAAATATCACTATGCACAAGAGTAAAAGGGCTAGTAGGTTTGTAACTATGAGGGATATAAGAATTCTTATGATGTTTTGCCGGTGCACACACATCACAATGAAATGATGAATGATCTTTATTATGAAACAACTGAGGAAACAACCTTTTTAAATAGTAAAAACTAGGATGACCTAGTCTATAGTGCATTAAATACACTTCATTATTACAAGAAAAAGAAATAGTTTGCAGACAAGTATTTCCTTGACCTTGTTTATTCAATTTAGTTCCTTCATCAAAGACATAGAGTCCATCTTCCTCTCTAGCACTGCCAATCATCTTCCCCGATGCCAGATCCTGAAAAATGCAATAAGAAGGATAAAATTTGACACAACACTGAAGCTCTTTGGTTAATTTGCTAACAGAGGCAAGATTACAAGAAAGGTTTGGAGCATGAAGGACTTTAGAGAGGTTAATGGATGAGGAAATTTTAACATTTCCCATCCCTGCAATGGCTGAAAAAGAGCCATCTGCAACTTTAACTTTTTATCTCCTGCACACGGGTTATATGAGGAGTAAAATTTTGGAATAGAGGTCATGTGGTTTGTTGCACCTGAGTCAATGACCCAGGTGTTTTTTGATTTTTCAGAACAAAAATATGATGTAATTTTACCATTTTGGGCAAAAAAACAAGAAGGGGTTTCCTGGTTAAGAATCTTTTGGGTATTTAGAAACTGTAGGAGTTGCTCTATCTGTTCCTTTGTGAAAGTGGGCTGATTGAAGTTGATTTGTTTCTCCTGTTCAGTTTCAGGCATGGTAGTATGTAAAGCTTTCTCAAATTTCTTCTTTCCTGCTCCTGGTGGTTTTCCATGGATCTTCCAGCAAGTTTCCCTTGTATGCCACAGTTTCTTGCAGTGATCACACCATGGTTTCTTTCTTTCATCTCCCTTGACCACCAATGCTGAGGACTCTCCAGTATCATTCTGAGATCCTGGAGTGTTATTCATAATCCTTTTCCTGCTTTCTTCAATCCTGATTTCAGAGAATACCTCTCTTATTGAAGGCAAAGGTTTCTTTCCCATAATCCTTCCCTTCACTTCATCAAAGCTTTGAGTAACTCTTGCCAGGAACATATAAACCCTGTCATTTTCTTCCCTTTTTTTGTGCTTGGCCAGATCTTTTGCACTTTCCCATTCATCATCATAGTATTGATCCAACTCCTGCCATAGAGACACCATTTCATTGAAGTATGTGGTGACATCTCTATCTCCTTGTTTGGACTGCCAGAGAATGGTTTTTAATTCAAAAATTTGAGAAGAATTTTCAAGGTCTGAGTAAGTTTCTTTTATGGAATCCCAGACCTCTTTTGCTGTCTTCATAAACATATGAGGTTTTGCAATTGAGGCTTCCATGGAGCTGAGAAGCCAGGCTGCTACACGTGAATTTTCTGACCTCCATGTACTGTAGCCTTCCTCACCAGGAAGTTTTGGTTTGATTTCTCCCGTGAGGTAGCCCAATTTTCCCCTCCCATCAATTGCGAGCTTGACAGATTGAGACCATTCCAAATAGTTTTTTCCATTCAATCTATGGCTAATGATTAGCATAGATGAATGGATAGGAGACTGGTAATTTGTCATAGGGCTAATTTGGGAGGTAGGGTTGCTAGTGTGTGATGAATCAGAATCACTGGTTTCTACCATCGTTTTGTTTAAACCAAGGCTATGATACCATGTAAGTTTTAGGAATAAAACTTCCTTGATTATGATGAGTCATACGGCCAGAATATATATACAGAGTACACACAACAAACTCCCTGTGCAGATCCTAAAAAATAGGATCTATCTAACTGCAGTACTTATCTGCTAATAAATGCAGTCTAACAACTCTATTTTATCTACACAACTACATACGTACACAATCTAATAATAAATAATAAATGTAACATTTTCTACACCTCATAAAGAAACTGATGTCTTCAATTATAATATTGATTATTCACTTCTGAGTAAATGTGATGTATTCAACCAGCTTTATATGCCAGTTGCCTGGCTGGAAACTTAGTAGAACAGCTTTGGAATTTTGCCTGGCCTGCTACTATTGCATTGCTTCATCCAAGCCTTCTTTCTGTTGCAACAATGGGTTTTGTTGCTAAGGTATAACTATTTATTAACTGATTCTATAAGAAACTATTTATTAACTGCTAAAAGAAAATATTGGATGATTAGGACTAGTGTATAACCAGTTCCCTTTGATAGGTGGCTGTCATTGTGGGAGGTCCAGTGGTTGGCAAGCTTATGGACCATTTTCCCAGGGTACCTGCATTTAATTGTTTAACACTTGTTCAGGTATAATTTTCATCGGTGTTACAAGTGGGTTAAAATCTTCCTCCAGAAGAGCACTTCTAAGAACACTTCTCTTATGTCAGGCAGTTGCTCAGTTGTTGTCAGTTAGTGTGATCATTCATGCCCACAGCTTCCATGCTACATCTTCATCCTTCATTATTTTTCGGCCATGGTTTGCTGTACTTGTTCTAGCCGGGGCTGTTGAAAGGCTATCTGGACTGGCTCTTGGGGTTGCTGTGGAACGTGATTGGGTTGTTTTGGTAACTCCTATTATCCGTTGAAAGCATTTTGACTTCCTAGTTTAAGAACTCATCTATTATTAATTATGCGTATATGTCTTTGCTTTTATTTTGTGAAAAATCTGCCCATAGTTAGCTGGTACCAGTCGGCCAGTTGCTCTTGCTCAAGCAAATGCTATTCTTAATCGAATTGATGTCTCATGTGAGGTAATCACCATTACTTAATCTCTTTATGAAAAGGCATGAGTTAATTTCTAAGCAGATAATTTTGTTTATGCTTAGTTGCTTACTAAATACTAATAAAAAGTTCATCACGCGACACTAATGTATTTATGATCATTGTCTTAAGGTTGCTGGAGCAGCACTATTTGGCTACTTTCTGTCCAAATATGAACCTGTAAAATGCTTAAGGCTTACCGCCACATTGATGATAGGAACATTGCCTATTGTGGTAATATATATCCCAGTTCACCTTGGGGGAGTCCCATAATGAATTTATGATGTTATTATGAGATTTTGACTATAAGTCTTTCTAGATCCTCTCAACATGGCTAACCAACAAACTTTCTTCTGGGGTTCTTGACCGTGCCAAATCTGTTCAAACTTGTTGCACTTGTCACTCCAGTGATTCTTTGCTTGAATCTGAAACTATAGGTGAATTTTGATTATCTTTGTTCCAATTGGATTTCACTCTCAAGTCTTAACTTGGGTTTGTGCTGAACCTACTGTTCCTCTTTCTAGTGGGAATGAGTATAGAAGCCATCAAGCATGGATGGGTTGAATATATCCAGCAGCCTGTTCTTCCAGCAAGCATCGCCTCTGTGTTACTTTACTTCAATGTTGTTCTTGCACCTGGTGGTTTAATGACAGCATTCTTAACACAGCGTGGTATTTTCTCTTTATTCTATTCCTAGGTATCTACTGCTCTGTGTATGATGTTGCTGGCTGGACGATGATTAAATCTAATTACAGTATAACTTTTTTGTTAAATTGTTGATTGTTTAATGGCATTACCTAAAATTAATGCTGATGTTGATTGTTAAATTAATGTTAAAATCACAACTTACAAGTAGGTATGGGCTTTACCTACGTATAGACACTTAATATTTTAAGTGGGCTTGGTATTATTTGATTTTTTAAAGCATTTGTAATTGACTTAAATCTTGATTTATCTGCACTTTTCTTTTAGCAACATCTTGTTATGGACTGAACAACATGAGCTTAATTGTGGTGGGGAAGTGCATTTGAGGTGGGGTTGAGATTTTGCTGAAAGCTTTAATTGGTCTAATTCTAATTTCTAGACCTTCTACTTATTTTAGAGCATGTGACCAACTTGATAGGGAGTTCCCAGGGTTTTAAGTCGCGGACCGCAACCGCAATTGCGGTTAAAATATTGATGTTTCCGCCTGCAGTGCAACAGATCACAATTGTGGTGAGAAACGAAATCACGTTAAGAACCGCAACGCAGCCGCAACGGACCGCATCAGGCCGCAACACAGTCTTAGAGGCCGTTTGGCAACCCTCATATTCGGCTTATCAGGCTTATCGGCCAACTTTTTTACCAAAACAAGTAAATTTTGCTTTCGCGCGCTGAATTTTGTAATAAGCCGAAAAAGTAAGGTTGGAGTTAATTTTCTGGCTGTATTGGCTGAAGTTACTGTAGACGACCATTTTAGCTATTTTTACATATAATTTTTTCTTTATTTTATTAATAAAATATATTTTAAAAATATTTTTTTCTTGTATCATCAGAATCAGCCAATGCAGCCACTTCAGCCAGAAATTCATAAATTTCAGCAGAATCAGCCAGAACAACCGATTTTCATGTTGCCAAACAGGCTCTTAATATACTTTTCAGCTATTTCTTTTATTTTTTAAATACATTATATTTCATGTTTATTAGTAGGGGAGAGAATGGAATAATCTTATTTCAACTGAATCAAGTATAATAAGTATTCATAGAGTCGGTTAAGTCAACAAACTAAACAACTAACCAAAGCTCTAACCAACTACTACACTATTACAAGATGTAACTTCTAGTCTATTACAAAGTGTATAGCTAACATTCCCCCCTCAAAATTAGGGTGATTGATGTGAAAACTCAATCACACTAACTTTGGTCCTTAGATCAAGAAAGCTGGAGCTGGGAAGTGGTTTAGTTAAGATGTCAGCAATCTGATGGAGAGAGGGAATGTGGTAGACTTCAAGTTGCTTCATATGAACCTTTTCTCTGACAAAGAAAAGATCAAGCTGCATATGTTTGATTCTAGAATGTAAGATAGAATTACGTGCCAGTTGAACAGTGCTGAGGTTGTCACAATACACTTTAGGAGTAGCAAATGAAACTTGAAGTTCTTTTAGGAGGAACTGAATCCATAAAAGCTCTGATGTGGTATCTGGTATCTGCAAGTATTCAGCTTCTGCTGAAGATCTTGCAACTCGAAGTTGTTTTCTTGACCACCATGAGACAATTTTAGTACCAAGAAAGATACATGAGTCAGTCAGTCAGATGTAGACCTTCTGTCATTGGGGTCAGATGCTCAGTCAGCATCACAGTAGGCTGATATAGGAAGATGCATAGTTGACAAAGGGATAGGTCTGATGACAATTTCATGTGTAATGGTGCCAGAGAGATATCTAAGAATATGCTTAACTGCCTGCCAGTGCTCCTTCAGTGGTTCAGCCGTAAATTGGCATACTTTGTTAACAGCATATCATATTTGTGGTTTGGCGAGGGTGGCATACTGTAAAACTCCAACAATAGATCTGTAATAGGAAGGATTGGGAAGATAGTCACTGCCTTCTTTTAGGAGTTTACAAGTGCTAACCATGGGTGTTTTGACCCCTTTAGAATCCAGCATTCTAGCTTGATTTAGTATATCTCTGATATACTTAGCTTGAGAAAGGTGAAGGCTACCATCAGGTATTTTGCGTGCCTTTATGCCCAGAAAGAAATCAAGATCTCCTCATCTCCTAGATGTTTAAGAGAGAATGATGAGTCTAGCTTGTGAATAAGCTGATGTATAGCAGTAGAGTTATTTCCAAATTCCAATAACTAATATATCATCAACATATATGAGGTTATATATTTGAACTCCAGAGGACAGAAAAATAAGTAGAGAGGGGTCAGACTTGCTTTGTTTGAAGCCAACACTATAAAGAATTGAAGTGAGTTTGAAAACCAAGCTTTAGGAGCTTGTTTGAGGCCATACAAGGAATTGTGAAGTTTACAGACCAAAGAAGTGTCCTCCACTTGAAAACCAGAGGGCTGCACCATGTAGACTTCTTCATCAAGCTCTCCATTTAAGAAGGCATTGTTAACGTCAAGTTGTTGAATGTTTGTAACAGCAAGTGTTAGAAGGATTCTGATAGTGACATGCTTCACAATTGGAGAAAATGTTTCTCCAAAATCAAAACCAAACCTGACCTTATACTTATTTAAAGAACCATCAGGGTTTTCCATAACCCTATAAACCCACTTGCAGCCAATGGCTTCTTTATTTGGAGGCAGAGAAACAAGAGACTAGGTTTTGTTAGCAAGCAAAGCATTGTATTCACATTTCATAGCTTCAAACCATTGAGGGGAAGAGAGAGCCTATTTAACCGATTTGGGCTCAGTACGGCCAACAGTAAGGTAAGACTAAGTCTTGGTTTTACTATTCTTGATTTAGCTCGTGTCCTCATAGGATGTGTATTTGTTAAGGGAACTAAAGAAGCTGGAATGGTAGAAAGAGAAGATATACCAAGACAGGGCAATGCTGGAGATGATGAGACAAATGATTCATGAGACGCAGATTGAGCTGACTCATTAGGAGTTGATGTAGTTGGTTCATTAGAAACAGATGGAGAATGTTCATTAGAAGAGGTAGACTCAGCTCCCAGTAGGGATATAGGAGGAGAAAGTAGTGATGGTTGAAGGGTGAGATGGATGAACGACACTTATAGGAGCAGAAATAGGATTGATTGGGATCAGTAGGTAATACAGATGGTCTAGAAGAGAATAAAGTAGGGTAAAGAAATTTGGATTCTGGAAAGATAACATCTCTAGAGATATAAATCTTTCCAGAGGGAGAAAGACATTTGTAGCCTTTGTGACTGGAGTGAAAGTCCAGTTTGTGCTTGTTATGGGCGAATGAAAGGGTAACAAGACCAATCAAAGACTTTAAGGAAGGAACATAACCATATAGTTTGAAATATGGACTGGAATTAGAAATGGATTTGAAAGGAGTTCTGTTAATTAGATGTACAAAAGTTGCAAAAGTAGTATCCCAGAATTTAAGGGGTAGGGAAGAATGACAAAGAAGGGATAGACCTTTTTCAACAACAATGCGATGTTTCCTTTCCACAACACCATTTTGATGATGTGTGTGTGGACAAATAACTCTGAGTAATTCCTTTTTCAGATAACAACTTGGTGAAAGATCTGAATTCACCTCCCCTGTAAGATTGAATAGACTTGATAGAAGTAGAAATTTGATTGAGAACATATTGAGAGAAGTTGGTAAAAGCTAGAAGAGCATCAGACTTTCTTTTGAGAATGTAATATGAGTACCCATCAAAGGATGAAATGGGAGCTGGTCCCCAAAGATCAGTGAATATTAGTTCAAAAGGTTTGTGGTAAGCAGTTGTAGAAGTGTAAGAAGGCAGTCTATGTGCTTTACCTAGACAACAAGCAGAACAGAAATCAATGGCTGAAGTATATAAGGAATATTAAATGCCACAGATTACATGATTGAGAAGGATTACACGGCTTAGCATTATTACATGTAGACAGAAAAATACTAGATGACATAGAATTATGTGGAGATGAAACAGGAGTGAAACTGCTTGTTGGAGTAGACTGATGTGAGCCAAGAGCAGGAAAGGACTTGAACCTATATAGACCATCTTCTCCCAGAGTACCATGTAACTAGACCTGTTTAGAAACCTGAGATTTGACAGAGCAATCATAAGGATAGAATTCAAAAAAGGCATTGTTATCTCTAGCGAACTGACTGACACAAACAAATTTTTAGTTATTGAAGGGACATGAAGAATATTATTATTATTGAGGGAAAGGGATATAGAGGACTGGTAAAGTGAGGGAAAGGAAGTAAAACTAATGGACTTGATATCCAAACCTTGACCATTGCCTATAAAGAGCTTATCAGTAGTAACTATAGGCTCACTGTGCTGAAGGTTGAGTGGATCAGCACTAACATGATGAGTACCTCCAGAATCTAGAAACCAGGTCTGAGGTTGTGGAGGAGGTCCTAAGATGGAGGGATTAGCACATGCCCAAGCAGCATTAGGTGATGGAGTATAAGGTTGCTGTGGTATCTCTCCCCAGTTGAAAATCTGTGCTGAAGACTTAGGAGCAGCAGGATGGTTAATATGAAGTTGGTGAGGTTTGTGGATGAGCTGAATATTGATTCCAGGGAGATAAGGATGAAAAGTTGGGAGCAGTGTATGAGGGATGATAGCTGATGAGTGCATGATGGCCGGTTTTTCCACAAACTTGGCATGTGATAGGATTGCGACCACCAAATCTACCACCACGACCTCTTGTGAAGCCTCCACGACCTCTGCCTTTGTAAGAAATACTGCCAACAGTATTATTGAGCCGAGTAACCTGGACAAAAGAATTATCTGAAGGATTTTGAGTCGCTGAATCAGTGTTTTGAGCTGAAACCTCAAAGCGAGCAACATTTGCAGAAAATAAGATTTGTTGAGATGATTCACGGAGCTTCTGTAGTCGCATTTCTTTGGCAGATAAGAGAGACTCCACTTCAAATAGATTTGGAGGATCGAGAGTACTGCGCGCGGCTATGGAATATGCCAGAGATTCATATTCTTCCGAAAGGCCTTCAAGGATGACATTAATGCGATCCTTAACATATATAGGTTCT